AGCAGCTCATCCAGTGCTCACCTGCTCACCTGGTGGCTCCTGCTGCTGCTCCCACCACTCGTCCGGGACAGCACCGGGGGGGGCGGCGTGTGCCCCCTGCTCCACCAAGCTCTTTCCAGTGGGGTAAGGCTGCGCTGGGAAGGGGCTACAGCAAATTTGTGGCTGCAGGCCCCCCACTATACACCCTTCCCTTCCACCACACCAGACTTACCAGCTGGAGGCAGCTCTCCAAGCTGCCGAGCTGTGCTCCTCACTGCCTGTGCTGCGCTGTGGCTGGACACATGCACAGGCCATTTATCAGCCAAATTATCAGCCTGATATGGCCGATTTCCGATATAGTAAATTTTCTTTATATCAGTGCCAAACCGATATCAGACCAATGTATTGGGGCACCTCTAGTTATCAGTGTCCCACCACTGCAAGAGTTGTGAAAAAGCACTTGTGAAATCCAAGGAAAAGGGCAGTGTCTTCTCCTGCCCCCTCTTCTCCTACCTACACAAATTATATAGAGAGGTGGTTGAATTTCCATCCTCCTAGGTTTATAGGGCCCAGTTTGACAAAGCCCTAGCTGGAATGATCTAGTTGGGGCTGGTCCTGCTTTGAGCAGGGGGTTGGACTAGATGACCTCCTGAGGTCCCTTCCAGCCCTAATTTTCTATGATTCTATACAATACAGCCAGGCACAAGATTTAAAAAAAAAGAAAAGGGGGAGGGGGAGAGAGAGATGGAGGCTTATCAAAGTGGCAAGAATGTTGACTGGCACACTTAAGACAACAGCACACTCCTATATCCTTTCCCCACATCACTATTGATCAATTTTCTACAGCCAATTACTAAGTTATCAGCACTGATGGTCTACACCTAAAAAAAATGTCCTTTTCATTACTCCTTAATTTACAGCAAATAGCCAGTGAAGCACTTGTATCTATATGCACCCTACAGCCTATGAGGGTATGAACAGCAGGGAGTAGGTAATTGTATAAGGACAGTAACAACTGGCGGATTTTAAGAAAAGACAAACAGAACTGAAAACTAGTCGTTTCCTGGCTAACTTCAATACCAAGGCCTAGCCCATAGAATTTGAAATTCTAACCCTCATGGGAGACAGGAACAAAAGGTACAATTCTATCAGCTTATTTACAAAAAAAAAAATGTTATCAGCATTAAAACTGGGAAATGGCTATTCTCCAAGCAGAGACAACATTGACAATGAGTAGCAAAAGGAGATTAAGCAAACCGAATAAATAGATAAAACTGGAAACAGATCCTAGGAACCAAACCGTGCCTGGCTAGCATTTAAATCAAGCAATTCCATGGTAACGATTTAAAGCTGCCTTCACTGTCCACAACCTCAAACTTCCTTTGCTGTGGGTTGAAGAGATTTTGGAATGCTTTAACTTCCTCTGCCTTCTTTATACAGATTTAAATTGAACAAATATATTCATGAAGGGAAAACACATTATGTACAACTTACTTGAGCTTGCTTGCATATTTTAAAGGGATGAAGGGTTTCTTGGTAGAAATGTTGATGATAAGTCTGTAGGTCAAACCAAAAGTACGTACTGTTCTTCCACAGCTACAGATGGAAAAAGAATGTAAGTTATCGCTACCCAATTATCAGGACTTTATAAAAGCTGAGGTTTCCAATGCAAGTAATTGTTTAGCTCCTTGGGGTCATCATAAATCAAGTTCAATTTAAGATGGATTTAATCTTCTGTTGCATACTGGCAGCAAGACAACATATTTCGTGGCATCATCACTATGATATTGTATCTTTTATTATATCCTTGTGCATAATTGTCCATTAAAATTGTTAACATTATAGTTAACATTTGAAAAGTAACCACATTTTAGTGGCATAAAGCCAGCATGTAAGAAGAAATGTTGATAATGGACATGCCGAACTTTTGCCATGGTGGAACAGCATTTTGCAGCAATAACTGAGACAATTAAATGTTTTATACTTGACACATGTTATTGTGACTATCATTCCATTTTTACTTTATGCATTTTTGAGGCACCATATCTCAGCTCCTAGTCATAAATTCAAACAAACATCAAAAAATACTTCAGAAGGAGGGGCTAGATCTTCCCCCCACCTCTGTTTTAATCAAGTACTTGTGGGGTTTAGATCTGGCAATTGCCCCAAGAGCCCATAGCTGGGGCTGCATCAAAATATGACAATAGAGAGATGCACTATAATCTGTAGGTTGTAAGAATTATGCACAGCCTGACCTCTGACTGCAACAAGTTTCACAGCTTGGAAAGGATCTACATAAAAATTCACTGATTTTCAAGGGAGGAATATACCTGCTAGTACAGGGTATGTGGATAAAAATCCCCTTGGAAAACTCAAGCCACTTTTATTTAAATATAAATATGAGTTTAGGAAGCTAGCGTAAAGCATCCAGCTGTGAAAATGTTGGCTATTGTTTTCGGACCAGTCAAAGGTATTTCTAGCGGGACATCTTTAAGGAGCCCCAGAATAAAACTACCTTCTACTGAGACAAGTCCTCAGCCTTATTTTACTCCAACCTCCCTTAGAGACTTACTGCTTTTTCCCAATCTGCAAGCACTGACTCAGGTTGATGACTCATTTCAACCACCTTCCATTTACACCCTTCTGGATATTACTAGCAGAGCCAGCAAAAAGGAGACAGGTTGTCATGAGAAACAACACAGTAGATATTCCATTATTTCAATATTTCTGTGGATTTAGGCTTATTTCTTTCTGACAAACTGAAAGGCAGTGATCTCAAATAGAATTATGATATGTAGGATCTGTCAGTTTGGTTAAAACCCATCTTTGGTTTCAGAATATGCAGCTCATTTTGGGGTGAGGGATTGCAACCTCACAGTGAATCCATCCAGTCATCATCAGTCTTTTTTTCCCAGCCACCCTTAATAGTTTGGTATTCAGTCAATAGTGGACCAAAACATCAGAAGATAGTACAATGCTCCATACCTTATTCCCTGACTTCTCACAGAAGCGTGTGAAGAAGTAGCCTGCTTTGTTCTCCACATAAAGTGACTGCAGCATGCTTTCCATTTTAAATCCCCCTAGGACCATGCTATCTGTGGGTCTTTTACCCTAGAAAACAACGTACAACAAAAATAATGCAGTTTACATTTTTCTTAGAAGTCAGTAAGTTGAGGTGAAGGAAGAGGGCTATGTCACTCATTCAATGCATATGTTTATTCCAGACAACTAGCATTTATTTTGTACCACATATGCAAATGGTGCATAATGTTCCATCCCCATTGTTCTATATAAGTATCAAGACTCAGTACAGTAAGAACAAACTGAGAACAAATGGTATGCAGGATAGTGAAGTAACTCCAAGCGATCAAGACATCTTTCAGGTGGTCCTTTGGAATGGGAATGTGAAAATACTTAGTGTCCTCACTTTTGCTATCAGCTCTTTGAGACTGGGGAACATAAAGTACAAGAGTCTATATCACTATGCATTGTTGTTACCTACTCAAAATAGCTGCCTCAAGTTAGTAGAGAGGCTACAGTGTTTTGAACCAAGGGAAGTTTACTAGTTCTTTCACAGGATCTGATAAAGTAAGTCCTCCGCTTATAAAAGCTCATGCTATACATCTTTGATGTAGTCTTAGTTAGGTGCAAATAGATTCTGCTTTCTGCCTGACTTCAGACTAAGATGGCTAACTACCTCTTTATATAACATATAGTTTGGCCTAATTACTTTATTTATTCAAATCCAAGACAGGTGTTTTTCCCTCGTTTAACATGGGGTGAAGCCCCTCATCTTGGATTCTAGTACGAGTAGGGGGCAGGCAGCTGCTGCAGCTCCAACTCTGGACCCAACCCACAGCTACTGCCTGCCCCCTTGTCTGGCCCATTCCCCGCTTTGTTTGCTTCCACCTCTTACTTCCCTTCTCTGACTTTGGCTCCGGCTCCACCTCCATCTCTGGCATGGCTTCAGCCCTACTGCAGCCCAGGGCACAGAGAACATGGTTGCTCTGGCTCCAATCCAGCTATACAGTTCAGCTCCAGCTTCAGCTCCAAAGCCCAGCCTAAGCTGCTACCACTGCAACAGCTGCTATGTGACCAGGCTGGGGCTGGAGCAACCATGTGCTCTGTGCCCCAGGCTGAAGCAGGATCAGAGCTGGAAGATAAGTGGTGGGGCAGCAGGGAAGCAGGCAGTGGGATTATAGAGGTGGCAGCAAGGGACTAGCAGCAGGGGAGTCAGGCAGGGGGACAGGTAGAGGGGGGGCACAGGAACAGGGGTGCAGGTGGCCAGGGATGCAGTCATGGGGAGGCAGGGACCAAGGTGGGTGGGGGCAAGCTCTAGGGCACACAGGCATGGTGGGTAGACAACAGGAGGCAAGTTAGTGAAGTTAGACAGCAGGGGCCAAGGGGCAGGGGTAAAACCATTTGATTCCCCTACCACCTCCTCCCCCTACTACATGCCTGTCCCCCTGCCACTGCTTGCCCCACTGAAGTGGTGGTGGGGGGTGAATTTAAGACAGCGCTCCAATATTAGATTCTGTACATGGAAAATTATAACTAATTTATGAATGTTCCATGTCTAGACTCTAATTATTGGAGGATCATTTTAAATTCAGACATCTAGGTTTCAGGTAAATACAGTATTCCTCAGTTTTCCTCAGTTAACCTTCTGGGAGCAGCAATAAAACCATGTGTTCAGTGGAGGGTAAGAAACCCTCTTGCTTCTTTGAGGGTAACTGTAGAAAGAGTTGAGGGATACTAGGTCTATTATGACATGAAGAAAACAAGGGAAATTCCTAGTCAGTGAGTAAAGAAAACAGGCTTCTCCCCAACAGAAAGCTCAAGAAAAAGAGGAGGAAGGAATAGGCAGGACTTGTTGAAGGAAAGGGTCTTGTGGGGGGCCAAGTTTCTTTGGGAAGCTTGTGACTTTGAAGTAGGTTGAGATCACTGTAGCCTCTTGAATACCCAGCTTGAGAGCCATGGTGGGTCCTCTCTTCCTCTCAGCAAGAGAGAAAGAAAAGTCTGGAAAGGTGATAGGGGGAATACAAATAGGCTGATATTTGTGGCTGTGTTGTGAATAATTTCTAAATATTAGATGCCCAAATATAGATATAACTTGACTCTCATTTTCAGCCTGCTCTCCTTTCCCTTCTGTGCAGAAAACAAAAATGTTTAAGTAAACGAATAAGCAAAAGTACAATTCTAATAGGAAAAAAAATCAAGTAATTTTCCACTCAGCTGATCATAAGCTCTACAGTTTATTTCTTGAATTGTGATCCCAGTACTGTGAAAAAGCAGCATAGGCCACCCTTGAAATGTTCAACCAGCACAAAGAATCTGGGACATACCACATTGTTCGTGTGACTTCCGGAAGCAGCAAGCTGCCAAAGCCAGGCATCCTTCATCCTTATTTCTTGTCAACTTAGCAAATATTGAGAACAAAAGCTCTTCTGTGCAGTCTGGCTTTCTGGAGGGTTACTGAAGGCAGGGGGTTGCTTTAGCGACAGTAATTTTATAAATAAAAAGTACATGCAGTGAAGAATTTTAGATCTGAAACATATTCCTGTTTCATCACTGCATGTTTTAGGGTAGTAGTCATTTCTGACTTATGCTTCAAACTTTTATACACTTTCTCAAATGTAATAATTCACTCTTTACTATTCTACTAGGCACATTATTGCCATTAAAGGGTCAACTTTTACTTGTAACTACCCCAGCACTGTATCCAGATTACTAGTTATTTCAGATACTACCATGTGATTACTACAGGCAAAGAGTGTGGTAATGATCAGTTTTCTAATTAAATCACTGAATGGTACTAGCTATACATGTTTTCCATAATCACTGAGTACCTCTTCTTTGTTTAATTTTATTAAATGAAATGTCTTAAACCAAAGATTTAAGAGGAGGAAGTTCTTCAGGAGCTACTTACTGGAAGCACCTCAGCATATGTATATTTTCTATCTCCTGGAAGCTTGACATCTTCACTATTATAGGTAAAATCAGATCCATGAATCATGTCAGTCACCGATTTTGGCCTGGACCCATAAAGAAAGATGTTTCATTATCATTTAACAAAAGATTTAGACTGTTTAGCTGAAAGAGGAAGCAAAGAGAAGACATGTTGGAGAGGTTAAAAAAGTAATGAATGATATAGAGAAGGTAAACTGAACGTTACACTTTAGCTTGTCTCATAATGCAAGAGCAAGTGGACATTTAATGAAACAAATTTCAATATAATTCAAGGAAATACTTTTTTATACAACATAGAATTTCTGTGGAACTCAACATCACAGGATAGCAGAGTACTTCAAAAGATTTAAAAAACAGAATTAATGTGGAGAAAGAGAGCATCGACAGTTGCATTGGAAAGGCTAATAATATATATAGGAGAAATAATTTCTTCTGCATCACATAAGCAAAATACAAACTAGTGAGGCTAGGAAGAAAGTTCCACTAGTAACACATTATCCTGTAATGGGCTCCCATGGGCAGATTATTGTATTCAATTAATGGGCAACTGAAAAGTTGTGATCCACAAAAATCATAAGAATCTTAAAAGACATGCATAAAGCTATGCAAAATAGTTGAGATGTTTAGTATGAATCAGATATACAAAAGATGTATGTACCTACCGCTTTCCATCAATATCATATTTAGCAGTGGAGGTATTGGAATCATCACTTGCAGTGCTATGGCTCAGTGGCAAAGTAGCTGACAATAACCTTATAGGTCTCTTGGAAGATAAATCCATCATAGGTTTTAATAATGGGGTTGGTGAGCTGGTTTTACTTTCTCTAAAGAAACAGCAAAAAAAAGGACAATCAAAAATAAATTATCCTGCCTCTATCTGAGATTTATTGTTCCATCATCAAAAATAAATTACCCTGCCTCTATCTGAGATTTATTGTTCCATCAGACTGGGGTTTTTTGCAATTGCAGTAAGTAAACTAGGTTCTATAAGTGCTTTTGAAGCTTTCTCATTACCCTTTAATAATGACAACTTGTTAAAAATTCAATTTCTAACACAGGGAATGATATTTTGTCCTCTGTCTTTGTCCAAAATTCTAACTGTGGGATTTCTGCAAATGGAATGAAGGAAACAGAGAATATCTCATTTGATGTGACCAGTATTAAACAAAGCAGTCACCACTGAAATAATCACAGCGCTTCAATTCCAATTTCAGGGGTGTCAAAGATACAGCCCATGGGCCAGATCTCGCTTGTGGAGCCCTATCATTTGGCCCATGGTGCTGCCCATGGGTCTCAGGCTAGATCCACATGCTACACATGGTACACTGTCCTAAGGCAGGTGTGCAGCAGGTCACAGCCAGGCAGCAGCCCCCACTGCCAGACTGCTACAGTGGGTAAAGGGTGCAGGGAACTCTCAGGACAGCTTCAGCAGTCCAGGTGGCACAAGGGGTAGTGTCCCCAGGTACCAACTGGCTGGGCCCCAGAAGCCCCAGTAGCTCTGAGCTACTTGCCAGGACAGCTTTTTGTACGAATGGGGCCAGGACAGGGCAGCTTTTTATACTGCTGGGGACAGCACAGGTGTTGGCCCCGGGCTCTAGCTCCCCCTGGCTGCAGATCCGGGAAGAGCCAAGCAGGGTTATTTTGCCCCAAGTGGCACAATTTGCTCCACAACAAAGTGCATGTCCAAGCATGTGCGTTGAGGCAAAAAGCTGCGGCTCCAATTTTCACTCCTTCTATTTCAGCTGCTGTAAGCGCACATACTTGCATGTGTGGATGTGCCCAGAGTGGCTAAAACTAACCATGGGCCATGTGCATGGCACAGTGCAGGGGTTACTGCGCTGTGCTTTAGTACTTCCAAAAAGGAAGTACTAAAACATGGCGGAGTAACATCACCTTAGGGCAATGTGTAGACACGCCCTTAGGGTAGTAACAGATGCTGCCAAATTAAGTGGATCAGTTGTGTACTGGCACAGCTGGTCTACTTCAACAGGCAAAACACACTGCCCATTGTCCCACCCGTTGATGCTGTGGGACAATGGACAAAGGGCAACATGTTCTCCTGAAGCTCTAGGGGCCTGGTCCTAAGTATTCTACATATTCCTGCACAGGTTTGAACCCCTCAAACACTGGAGGGGCTGTCTGGCTTTCCCCTCAAAACAGCAGCACAAATTGATACCACCTTTGTTGCAGTCACATTTGTGGTATGGCAAGGGACATAGATGTCTCTTTGCTTGGCTTTTGTGCCACTGCAAAAATGTTTATGGTAGCACAAAGTTGACAAAAGGAGCCAACTGTTTCCACCCTTAGAGATGCACTCTGTGATCTCGGAGGAAAAAGTGATAGCACATCTTATCTTGCATACTTTTGTAGCAAAACCCCCAGTTTTTCTTTTGCTTTTTAAATGCATTCCCTCCCCTTTCCCAACCATTTCTGACTTTGTCTCTCCCTCTCAATTCCCTATAGATAAGTATAAGTGAGCTACGACATAGGATAAACTTCAGAATTTTATTTTGGTAGCAGTTGTATTTGTTTTGTTTTTTCTCCTTCTTTATATTGTATAATTATTATGTTTATATTGATTTTTACTGTTCTATATTACTGTTTTACTGGTACTATATGATTTAGGCCTACATATGTAAGTTTGCTTAAGTCATGTCAAGTTTCCATTTTGTTTGTCAAGTCTACATCCTGTCCCCATGCCTGGTTGTGTAACCCACGACTCACACCCCCCTCCTATGTAACTTGGTTCCTGAATGAATGGGGATGAATGGGGGTGCTTGAGAGACAATGGCAGTAGGTCTAAAAATAGCTCCCTCTGAATGACCAAACCATCAACACCAATACCTGGACCAATGACCCAGCCACTGGAACCACCCTCAGCATTCAAGAAAGAAAAGATGAGGCAACCCACCATTGTGCCAAAGCTGCACAAGCTCAGTAAGAACATGTGGAACCCTCTGAAATAGGACTGACCTTGCCAGGACAGGCCTTCCCCGTAGGAGATCAGAGGTAGTCTGCCCCATAAAAAGGGGT